CTGCAGCCACTCCTGAAAGCGGCTCCAGCGAGTGCAGCAATCAGCCAGCACTTACGGGGGGACAACAGTATTCCCGCCTGCCCCCCCTGCCCATTGCCTAAGCAGCAAGCATGGCTGTCAGGGGGTGCACTGGCGTTCTCAGAGGGTGCACCCCCTATGCATCACCACTGCCTGACAGCCCCAAGCAGGAGCCCTAGAGTGCTGCCTGCCTGCAAGGGGAAACCCTCTGTTTCCCAAGGAAACCCAGGCCCCCAGGAGGCCCCTAATTGGCAGGGGCACCTGGGTCCCATGGGCCCATGCATTAATCCACCTATGTTACCTGCACTGTATAAAGGGGAAATAGAGAATTGCTTTTGGCTGGACTTTTAAGGAAAAAAAACCAAACACAAATTGGAAAGTACTATGCACTCATTTTAAAATGAGCTAAGGCAGATCAAGCCACCTTTTTCGCAAATATTTTAGAAGTTGCAGTGTACCTTGCAATGGATTCAGTTGTTATGAATATGAACATGAGTGATTGGTGCCTCTTGAATCTGGGGCGCATATGCAGAAGCCACCAATGGTGGCGACCCTGTCAAGGGGGGCACCAGCCCTACCAACAACATCAATGTTGGCTGTTGGGGGGCACTGGCCCCATCGGGGGGGCATATGCCCCCTGCCCCGTGCCCACCTACCAGTTGCCTCTGAATATGAAGGACATTCTATTTTGAGGCTGCTGGAGTTCTCTTTGGCTGTCTAGTTCTCAAAATGACTAATCACTCCCTTGTGTTGCCCTAGTGCCCACTAAAGGGTCTCTGTCTTGGATTAAGCAACCGGGGAAGGGATTGCTGACTCCAGCACAGTAATTAGTATTTAGAATAGGAGATCAAACACAAATTGAGTCAAATCTTTGGTATATAAGTCTTGTTAGGACTTTTGTAAATAATAGGTTTTCTGTTTTGCAAAAGGAGCTATCACATATTTCCATCTGAGGTGTTTGACATTTCACACATACCAATGTTATCATGGTCTAAAATTTATTTTTATACTCATTTTGCCCATGGGCAGGGAGAAAAAAACAAGCTAACAATCATCCTGTTAGTAGACTGTTGCTTTGCTTTGATTTGTCAAAACTGTTTAATTAAAATAACAGTCTTCAAGCAAACTATTTTTTTCCAGAGCAAAAGGGGCAAAAATAAAAGTAAGGTTTCTCATGAGAAGGTAATGGCCACATTTTTATTTCACTGTTGTTCAACAAACAAATTGCAGAGATCTGGTACAGATATTTAAATATGTATTTATAAAAATACTGCCACTGAATTGCTCTGCATACTGATAATCAACCAAATATTGTGATTTATTTTACTTCACTCTAATTTTGTGCACTGGGCTAGGTCACACGATATGTACTGAAAGGTTACTGTGGTTGATTAGAACTTTATCAGGAAAAGCTGCTCAGAACTTCTCATACCTGCACTCGGTGTTTTCAGCTGGCTTCCAGGTCATTTCCACTGCCAGTTAAAATACTCTGTCTTAATTGCTGAAACTCTCAGTGGCTCAGGTCACAGTTACCTTACAGCTATATATGCCATCTACCAAGTCATCTGCTTCCTCTGGGACAATGTATCCCCATGATCACAGTGGGACAGCTTTTAAAGGAGATCTGGAGAGGAATTTCAGACCTATCTAGACATAGCCTGGTGATTTAGGACACTTTGAGAAGTGGAAGATGTAGATTCAAACTCCCTCTGACTGAGGACGGCATAGAAACTAGATTCTCCCACCTTCTGTGCAAGTACCCTAACCACTGGCCTAAAAAAATAAGAGCTCCTTTCTCCTCTGACATCAAGGTCACTAATCGTGGTTTTTCTGTGAATGACCTTTGAGGAACATGCATGCAAGTTACATGCCTGTGCAGCACTCCAGAGCCATAGAGGAACTTTTGTGAGCATGCTTAGAAGACAAGTCTAGCTGGACAGGTGGAAATACAATGAAAAAGCCACATTATGGCAAAACATGCCTCTTATAGATTCATAGATTCATAGAAGTAGGGTCAGAAGGGACCTTGTGGATCATCAAGTCCGACCCCCTGCCCTGGGCAGGAGAGAAAACCGGGCTCGAATGACCCCAGCCATACTCTCTAACAACTTGTGGCCATTATTCCTTGTTACTCTGGGAGGCGCTCGGGGGAACAAGGTCTCTCCCAATCCCCACTGGTTCCCACTAGTAAGTTTATAGCTGGCCAGCAGGTCCCCCCTCAGCCTTCTCTTGTGAAGGCTGAAAAGGTTAAGGTCCTGTAGCCTCTCCTCGAAGGGTCTGCCCTGCTGTCCCCAGATCATGCGAGTGGCCCTCCACTGGACCCTCTCAATGCTGTCCACATCCCTCCTGAAGTGCGGCGCCCAGAACTGAACACAGTACTCCAGCTGACTCCGGCCTGACCAGTGTCATAGTGGGGGAGGATCACCTCCTTGGCCCTGCTTGAGATGCATCTGTGGATGCACAACAAGGTACGGTTAGCCCTACTGACCGTGACCTCACATTGTCGGCCCATGTTCGTCTTGGAGTCAATAAAGACTCCAAGATCTCTTTCTGCCACTGTGCTCTCGAGATGGGAGTTTCCCATCTTATAAGTGTGCTGCTGGTTCCTACTGCCCAAGTGCAGCACCCTGCACTTATCAGTATTGAAACCCATCCTATTTTCATTAGCCCACCCCTGTAACCTGTCCAGGTCCTGCTGTAATCTGTCCTTCCCTACTAGCATGCTCACGTCACTCCAAATCTTGGTATCATCAGCAAATTTAAACAGGCTGCTTTTCACCCCATCGCCAAGTCACTAATAAAGAAATTGAACAGTGTGGGCCCAAGGACCGAGCCCTGGGGGACTCCACTTCCCACTTCCCTCCAGGTCAAAAGAGACCCACTCACCACCACCCTCTGAGTACAACCTTTCAGCCAATTTGCAATCCATCTGACTGTGAAGGCATCAATGCCACAGTCACCTAGTTTGTTGATGAGAATGGGATGGGAGACAGTGACAAAGGCCTTCCTGAAGTCCAGAAAGACTACATCCACCGCGACACCTGCGTCCATTGCTTTTGTGACCTGATCATAGAAGGCAATCAGGTTGGTCTGACAGGACCTGCACCTAATGAAACCATGGTGGTTGCTCTTGAGCATCATCCCTGCTGCTGGCCCATCACAGATGTGCTCCTTGATGATCTTCTTTAAGAGTTTCCCCAGGATTGAAGTAAGACTAATGGGCCTATAGTTGCCCGGGTCCTCCCTCTTCCCTTTTCTGAAGATGGGGACCATGTTGGCTTTCTTCCAATCATCTGGCACCTGGCCAGAGCACCACGAGTGCTCGTAAAGCCGTGCCAGTGGCCCCGCAATAACCCCTGCCAATTTCCTCAACACCCTGGGGTGGAGAGCATCTAGACCTGCTGATTTGAACATGTCCAGCCCCTCCAGAAGGCTACATTTGGAAGTGTAAGTAGCAGCAGGATGTCTTTAGGTGAAATAGGATTGGGCCTGCGAGTCCATCATGGAAATGGATCTATACTCTATTTGGTGCTTAAATCTGTGTGGATACAGTAGTTATAGGAGCCCCAGGATTAAGTAAAATGGATGGATTAAAACCTCACTCCACCCTACTTCATTACATAGTACACAAGACAGTTGTGTTTTTAATATTGTCTCTTTCATATATTGTTTAATAAATACTTTCTCTTCCTCTTCATATTCAGCTGCCTTTGGGTTGTTCTTTTTATTTTGATACAAGATCCTTATGGCTTTGATTCAAGACTTTTGGTACTGTCCAGGTTTTGACCTAAGCTAGTAGCCTTTTGCTTGTCTGGAATGCTTTGCAGTCAGTGTGTAGGCAATGGGATCAATGTGTTGAAAGTATTTTGTTTCACAAGAATTTTGGGCAGGGACAAAGTGGTCTCTTATGGCAGTTTTAATGTGCGGGATAGTAGACTGTGATGCTAAGGCTTTAGATCAAAGAAGTAAATTCTGAATGCTTATTCAGTCCTTCCAAGGCTCCCTTTGCTTTTTTCAGGTTTATGTGAATGAGATTTATTTGTGACTGAAGACATGATAACCTTTCACGGAGGTCATAGGTCTTGTTGTGAAGTGGGGCTTCTAGGTGGGAGGGCATTGTTTTCCTTTTCTTTCCCTGGACTCCACTGGAGGAATGGGCAGCAGCTCGCACTGGTGTCCTACTATTCCTCATGAAGCTCCAGAGAGAGAAGACAGCTGAAGTTCCTTGGGACAGTGGATGGCTGAGGGAACCCTGTTAGTGCCATTCCATTGGAGATACGTAATCACAGCACTAGTTTACTACCAAGCCACATGGCCTAGGGCCTTTTCCATGGGGGGAAAAATATGTTTCCGCCCCCTCCTAGAAAGGAACCATTCTGGAACAGACTCCGAGGGTGGAACATTGCAGAGATTTCCTTTCCTTTTCCCGCCTTCACAAGCTATTCTCATAGGAGAGGTTGTAAGGCCGTGAGTAAAGACTACAGGATTTGGCCCAAAGGAAGGAGCTGGAGCAGGGTTGGGAGGGAGTAGGAGAAGGAGGAGGGGAAAGTTGTGCTAAACCTGTCCAATGCTAACACTAACAAATGGTTGAGCAGATTATATACGGGAAGGTGATTTGCCATTGTTAATGACTTTCTTATTGTTTTTCTAGGACCTACTTCAGGGTCAAAATTAAAAGTTCCTGAACTGAGTATAAATGGCACACAGCACGTCATCCAAGCGGGCCAGACTTTGAATCTCACATGCAGGTAACCAGCTGAGTTGGCTTCACATAATTTGGCTGGGTATTCATGCACCTGACACTTCTTTTTTTGGAACTAAAATTGGAAAAAAACCCAGTGTGATGGGGAAAGGTGGGGGGCTAACTTCAATGGCAATTGTTTAGTAGTTCTTTGTTGCTGTTGTTCTTTGTTGTTTCTGTTGTTTTTGGAGAATAAGATAAAAGAGAACCCCAGAAATAGCCTGTTATAATAAAAAAGAAAGCTTGGGAACTGGAGCTGTATCATTGTAGCCCAACATAATTGTTTTTGCTTCCTTATCTGCGTTTGCAGGGGGGAAATGGTTCATTCATGGTCCCTGCCTGAAACACTAAGTAAAGACAGCAAAAGGCTGAAAGTAATTAAATATGCCTGTGGAAGGAATGGGAAACAGTTCTGTAGTAGTCTGACCTTGAGCAGAACTCAAGCAAAAGACACTGGATACTATGGCTGCAAATACCCATCCTCAAGTGCTGTAAAAAAGAAGACAGAACCTACAGTCTATATATTTATTAACGGTAAGATTCCAATTTTTTAAAATACTTTGGTGCTTTAATTACAACACAACCCTAAGAGGCCACATGTGCACATCAACTAGGATGCAATGTATAAATGATATATGTGAATGACATTTTCAGCCTCATAAGATTTAGGAAAATGTATGGACTCATATTCAAAATCTACTTGCCCATCATTTGAGAAAACTAATGCTCATATTTTATTTGCAAGAGGAAAGGGGAGAAAAGCCTAATCCAAATTTAGCTCACCTAGGGTGAGTAGAATTTTTTAAGGTGGATTATCTTAACAAAATGGATCTGAAACATATATGTGAAATGATTAGGGTATCACAAGACTCAGATCAAATGCCATTTAAAAATACGATGCTCCTGATTTGCTACTCTGCATAGGTGCTCACTGTTAATTACCATTAAAATATGGCAGGCTTTCAGATAGCTGAAGGATACCAAATGCTGCCTTGTAGCAAATGAAAAAAATAGATTTTCCAGCTCCCAGGGGCAATCTTCTCATCCTGTAGGAAATTAATATTCAAATTGTTGTCAATTTAAAAAATGCAATAGTCTGAAGTTAATTCTTATATTAAACATGGAAAAAAATCCAGAATCAGTGAAATCAAAAGGAAATCAATCTGTATGGAGGAACTTTTGTGTTCAGTGACCAACTACTGCACATTATGTGGGAAATGAAGAAAGTAGGTCAGTTGAGCTATAATAATAGGCATTGCTTGCTGGCCCTCACACAACTTTCAGGATGATTACATTCACTAAAAATAAAATTAAAGCAATGATAAACCCTGCAGATTTTGCAGTGTTAATCTTTCTTGAGTTTTCAGCCAAAAGTGACAAGATTAATGGAAGGTCTCCAATTCATAGATTTTGAAAACCTGTGCAAGAGAGAATGTGCAATTGGAACTTTTCCAAATGATGTGCCTGCCTGTCCTAATACAGCAGCTGTCAGACTAAATCAAACTTGGTTTGGATTTTCCAACATGAAGAATGTGATTAAAGTCGTGTAGAAATTGAACCATTTGGACTACTTACTTACCTCTATAGAAAGCAAGATCTGGGCTCCCTTATGGTCCATATCCTGCTTTACTTGGGATGTTTGGGAATGTTCAAGAAGCTACATTCAAGAGGCACTCAGTTCTGCTTTTTCTATAGCTAATGACACTGCAAGGTATATTCTCCTTGCCAGAGCCAGTCTTAGGGGTGGACAATGTGGGTGACTTCCCAGGGCATCATGGTTGGGGGGTGGGAGGGGCGGGTGCTAAACACAGACTCACATGTACACACACACATGTGAGCAGCCTGAGCTCACAGCAGCACTCTTCCCTGCCTTGTCCCAGCCCAAATGATACTTGTCCCAGGCAGGAGGAGCAGTGCCCTGCCCCAGTGCCATGACAAGGAAGTTTGGCGCCTGTGGCAAATCCTACAGTGGCAGCCCGCCCTCGCCCTGTGCACAGATCCAGGGGGCACATTTCCCCCCATACTTGCTCGGGAGTACACGCAGCAACAGGAGACACCTTCCCCCCGTCCTCATGCCCCTCCAAACAAGCCACTCGCAGCTCTGTCCCCTGCCCTGCCCTGGCTGGGCAGCACTTGTTGGTGGCCCTTCGCTTTGGCACCCAGGGCAGTCACCCCACTCGCCCCTCCCTTGCTATACCCCCGCCCTCCCCCGCCTCCATCTGCTGCTCAGGAGGAGCCAGGCTTGGCACATGTGGGGCAGGATGACATGTGTTCCAGTCTACCTGCAGCAGTGCTGCTGACTTGGGGGCGGGGGCTGAGGAGCACCAAAATACAAGTTTGTCCAGGGTGCCATTTTCCCTAAGGCCAGCTCTGCCCCTTCCCCAACCATTTACCTATGTGACTTTCATTAACATAATTCAGCAGGCTTTGGGCTATGAAAACATCTATGTAAGAGTAAGGAAAGTAGAAGATTGCTCTTTTATTGACTGATATTTACTGCTGGCCAGCAAAATCTGTAATATAGTAGGATGGGAGTATTAACCCATTCCGTTCTAGCATCAAATGTGAATATCTCTTCCCATCTAATAGAGATGTATCCAAAGCTTCTCTTTCATTTACCTATGTAAGAAGAGCAAGGGTGGTTGCTCCATTGGCTAAACTAACCTTACACAGAAAACCCATGTGCTAGGGTGACATGTAGGAGATGACTCTCCTCTGTCTCTAACGCTTCCTGCAGGAAAGGGTATGAGAGACAATATTCTTTATTGCTGAAAAATACAAACTGGAGACCAGTCAATTTTTCTATTGAACAGGAACAGCAGGTCAGAGAAACAGGGGTCTCTTCAGTTAAAAAAAATCTTCAGTAGCTCAAATAAAATTTTCAAAGGTGCCTAAATGGCTCAGGAGCCTAACTTCTATGGACTTTCAATAACATTTAGGCTTCTTGGGGCTTATGTCATGTTGAAAATGGGTTTTAGGTGAAAATTTTACTCATGACCTTACTTACTTAGGAAACTCAAAAATGGCATTCATTGGGTAATTCTGTTTTATGCTGTAATAGTTCTGGCATCACAGTTTTCAAAATTTGATAATTTCAGAATATGTCTTTCCTATGATATGTCAGTTTCTTATCAACAATATGCAAGTGAAGTCTGTAAAAATGAAGGTGAATAATTTTGGCAGACCAATGATTATGGAATAAGCATAACTGTTTGTCCAATGTCTAATGAATGTATTAATTGAAACTGTTATGAACTGGGGAGAAAAATGTACTGAATTCAAGTAAGCTGAGTAAGAAAACTTTAAATGGAATATATATTGCCGTCTCTTTCTACTCATAATCTGTGGTATTATCACATATAAGGGAAAGCATGCTCTTATAGTCTCTTAAACTTAACTCAGTGTGTTTGGAAACCAAGACAAAGTTATTGATATATTTATAAATCAATTGAATTCAATTTAGAAAAAATAAGTAACCTCCACTGAAGTACCTTTTTACATTTTTAAAAAGCGTGTTACCTAATTTCTGTGTGCTTGGGAAACAAATGCTTTTTAAAATGAAGATCACTACATGTTTTGTAGTGTTTCCTGTGGCAGGACATCGTGTCAGTCAATTTCCCATATTAGCTGCATGTGGATCACTAAGGTGTCTCTTTCCCATGTTTTATCGTGCTATATAGGAGAACAAATAATTGCTATTTACAAACATAGAATCTGAATCAGGAAAGTTGATATTGTTTGTACAGGAAGCTATCACTTATTGCTTTAAACATGCTTCTGTGATTAGAAGCAAGGGTGGGCCTACACGCTCATTAATGAGCCTTTGCTATTGCACATTAAGTTTAGTATCTCTGAGATACTAGATAAAGGTGCAGTAGCTGCCATATGCATAGTAGGAAAGGAGAATGGGTTTTCTGTGACCCTTAATGTTCAGTAGACTAATTCTACTGTGCATTAGCACATTAGGATGTTTTTTGCCATGACACACTAATGCACAGTAACGCACCCACTGAATATCAATTGGATAGGAAACAAACTCATTAAGAAAATATTATATAGAAATAAATGAAGATACAAGTCTTTTTTTTCCTGTGAGGTAATGAAAATTCTTGTAGGGGCTCTGAAAATCCCATATGCATACCTTACACTTAGCCCTTTCAGTCCCCATCCTTTAGAAAAGGCAGCTTCATTAAGTTTTTCCTCAAAGCCAGTCAATACATCCACTTCTTTTTCAGCTGGAGAGGTCACTACTGTGTTGTACTGGGGAGTTTAGTGTACAATCTGTGGAGTATTAATGCTGGGTGCAGACAACCCAGGAATTGACACTTGAGGCATGGGGAACAATTGCTCTTAAGAGCCTTGGACTTAGTTGTAATTCACTACAACGCTGGGTCATGTGGTACTAAGACTCACAGAACACAAGCCTTGGAAAAGGAAGAACATTTTAAACGTTCCTTTCCAGGATGTGAAACTCAGCAGTGCCTTTACTTATTTGATCACAAGGCCAAGCCCAGCTTTTCATTTTTGCCCTGCTTCCCCATCTTACCCACAGGGTTTAACTGACCACACAGTCTTTAATGGGATACTGGTACTACTTGCAGGAATAAGGCATATAGGGTTTTCTGCATGTAAAGGTATCATGCTAATGGGATGAAGCATGTAAAAAAACATGTCAAATGAGCCGCATTCCAGGCAGCTCTTTTGCCTGGTTGGTTTTGCCTAGAAGGGTTCTCCCCATGCCTGTAGCTTGCAGGTATCTTTTTCCTGGATACAAGTTCTGCCTGTTGCTCCAGGTTGATCTTTCTCTGTGGTGCAGCTCATTTGTTTTCTTTCAAACCAAATAACTAGGTTACTCTGGTGCTTTAACCTCACCTCTTTTTCCAGGAATTCAAACAAATGCTGATCCAAGTTGAAAGGTTGTCATTTCCCCTGATGAATGTAGAGTTAACCGGTTAATAAAGCATGATCGTGTTTTGATTATGGCAAAATAGAGACTTTTCTTCTACAAATGGATACAATTTCACTTGGGGAAATGTAGCCAGTTTCACAGCCAGATGATCATTTCTTCTTTACAGCAGCTACAGGGTAATGTTTGACCATTGGCAACTGCTATTTCATTCTTATAAATGTGATAATTTATTTGAGAGGACCCTGCTAAACCTTGAGGGCTGGGTCAGCAATGAGAATTATTCTGTGCAGCTTTTTATCAATGCCCAACTCTCACTCTTTGCAAATATTCCCAATGTGCACATGTTTTGCTCTTCTTGGTACTATTCCCTGGAAGATGAGATATTTCTTAGCCATCCCAGCAAGCATCCCACTTAAAATAATCTGGGTCTCAGAACTTGAAGATGAAACAGCTAAACCAAGGTTTTAGAACAGTACAACTTAAAAAGATCCTTAACACCTACAATGTCAAAAAATTCTGCCAATTTTGATTGCTTAGTTTATGAAGCCTGGATATCTCAGGCTGAAAAATAAAAAATAACAAAGCTTTCAGTAGCAATGACCATTTAAAAATTCAAGCCTTTGAA